CAGCTTTGGCCAACATGGTTTTTCCACAGCCTGGAGGTCCGTACATCAAGACCCCCCTGGGTGGGTCAATGCCAATCTGGGGGTTCAGGAAGAGAAGAAGAGTCAAGATGGGTCAGAGGACAGCCAGCCCACACCTGTACAGCACAAATACCTGTACACCACACCTGTACAACACGTACACATGCACACACATATACAGCACAAACAACTAATTACACATCACGTCTAGTTTTGAACACACCTGTTTATAGAGCTCAAAGTGAGTTAGGGGCAGCTCCACAGCCTCTCTGACTTCCTGCTTCTGAATGTCCATGCCTCCGATGTCAGCATACATCACATCAGGCTTCTGGTCTGAGAGGAGACAACACCAGTAACATTACGGCACGTTCCCACTGTACAGTACTGCTGTACCAGTAGTACTTTGACCAAACCAGGCCACACCCCTTGTATCCAGCCCATACCACGTATAGCTGCCCTGCAACCAGCCACTGTGGCTGGTGGATTTAAAAATTCACCAGCCACACAAGCTTCTTACAGCCAATGTTTTGTTCTTTTTTTCTCCAAGATTAAAGACACAGGAAAAGCATGAGCATGGTTCTTGTTTAAGAGGTTCTTGGGCCCAAACCTGCCCAGAACCCGAATTTCCGCTGAAAACATTTTTATTTATTTTTATAGTTTATTACAAGCTAAAGTAAAAACATTATTGTGCATAGAATATCATGCAAATTATTATAAAAAAACAAAAAACAAAATGTAAGATCAAACTAAAATGAATAGCCTATAATTATATTAATTCATTACAGTCGGGGGTCGCGGAGTCAACACACACACACACAAGTCACACATTTAACGAACACCACGCATACAGTATGTTGTCACTGCTGACAACGGAATCAAAGTTGTCCCATACATCAAAGCTCTAGGTGGTATTATAGTAGCCTACCACCTGTTGGATCTTCTTCCAAACGGCATGTCAGACCGCAAATAACCAACACAAAATGTATGTGACAAAACAGATAAACATCGGCCAATACCATCTGTGAATGTCATCTTATTTGCCAATAGGCCGATGGCAGTCAACAACGCGAATATCAGCCGATACCGGTGTACGTCCGAAAAATCGTGCACCCCTACAATATGTAGCAGAATATAAAGAAACTCCAAACACTGACATTTAAAAGACAGCTGGGTTTAAGGTGATCGGGGGAGCAAAAAAAGGTAGGAAAATCTTTCACAACCCATCACTGCAAATTTTTTGAGGGAGGCTAAGCTCACATTTGGACACTGAGAAAACTCTTTTTTTTCTTTTTCAACTACCTATCGAATATCAAGTGTCATTCCATTTGCACACATACTATATAAACACAGAAGCAAAGCCACGTTTTACTCACCAGATCTTCTGTTGATATTCACTAACAGTATTTCACGGTCAGAATTTCAAGCAGCTTCAGGTGCTGATTTACTTCTAGCTGTCACTGATTACTTTGTTTCATGGATGACAATGACGGCTGGAGACGGCAGCGAAAAAATAGCCTAATCATTTAGTTCACTTTTTTTTTTAAATCAATTTTGATATATATTATATAATTACAATTATTAAAAAAAATATTACAATTATTGAAAATAATATAATAATTTAATTTAAAAAAATAAGAAGAATTGCGGTAAGATAATTATTTTGGGTCAGAAAAAACGTCCGGCTAATGTCGCACGACTGGTGGGATGCGTCCGCCAATGTGGCTGGTAGCCTGATATTTTTACACGGTAATTCCAAAATTCACCCACTTTTGGTGTGTGGCCGTGTGTTCATTTCAGGCCCTGCCTTGTACCCAGTCCGTACCAGTACCACAAGTACCCAGTCTGTACCAGTGTTAGTGAGGTGGTTAGTGGAGGGCTACCTGAGGTGAGCATCATGATGCTGCTGTCAGCCTCGGGGGGCAGGACATCCACTAGGGCGTTGCTGTGCTTGTGGAGCGCCACGGAGGCGTTGGGTTTCAGCAGCTCTCGGTCAATGGTGCTCAGGATGCGGACATAGTAGTTAGACCCTGGAAGGAGCACACAGCAGAACTACAGTTAGTCCACCTTTTCTCTAGTTACAGATTTAACACTTGCCACGTTCAGAACCTTGAAAATAAAACATAGCATTTGCATTCCATTTCACCGTTTTCAATAGGATCACTAGACACTAGCAGGTGTTTAGGAGGACGTGTTGGGTTCTCGCAGGTATTTAGGACGATGTGTGTGGTTTAAGCAGGTGTTTAAGAGGGGGTGTATTGGGTTCTAGGGGTTCTTTTAGTGGAGGTGTGTTGGGTTCTAGGAGGTGTTCCTAGCCTAGGGGCCCCACGTGTGCCAGTCTGCCAGGGGGCCCCCGATTGGCCGAATCGGGGGCCCCCCGATCCGGTAGCCCCCCGATCCGCTAGCGCCTCGATCCGCTCGCCCCCCCCCCCCGCAACCAAAATTTCCGGAGACGGGTCCTTTACGGTGGGGGGTGGGGGGCCTACATCAACCTGCAGCCTAGGGGCCCCTGGCCTTCTTAATTCGGCCCTGGCCGTGGTGTACCGGTGGTAGAGCCCACGATGGCGGTGTTCTGGTCCACGGCCTCCAGGAACTGTCCTATGACGAGGGGGATGCTCTGGATCCTCTTCACCTCCTCCTGGGCATGGAGGAACTCCTTCTTCAGGTTCTTCTGCTCATCCTTGATGTACTCCTCCTGCACCTCCAGGAACTCCAGCTCCTGCTGTAGCTTCTGTAGGGTCAGAGCAGGGGCATGGTCACAACATCAGATGTAGTGTCCTGATTGGTTGCTCAATGTCAAAGACAGGTGAACTGAAAATAAGGATTGTTTGTAGATGCAAACAAGTGTTTGTGGGAATCTGGATTCACTGTTATTGAAATGTGAAATGTGGGAGTTCAACACACAGCCAGACCATGTTTAGTTTGTTTAAAATGGTCGATGGTGTTCCTGACCAGTTTTTAGGTTTGAATACTAACTAAAGACCTCCTTCCTCCCCACCTTGTATCTGCTGTATAGGTCTTCCAGATCCTCAGGTTCTGGTGCCAGGAAGGAGAGGGCGGTGTGGGGTCTGGAGCTCTGCATCACTGGTACCTCGTCCTGCAACACCACAACATTATCAACGTCATCATTAAACAACAACATTATCACCAACACCTACATCATCACCAACAAAACACTAAAACATTATCACTATCAACACATTATTAAAACATTATTCCTACAGCATTATCACCAACAATACAAAAACATTATTACTACAGCATTATCACACACTCGTTATATAACAATATCACAAACAACACCACAACATGTGACTACCAACAACACCACAACATTATCAGCTATAATTTTGATCAGCTGATTTCATTGCATCAATCATTTCAACGCATCTGCTCTTTATCTATGCACTGGTATGCAATGCTTTAGTTGTCTTCCATTCTCAAAGATTTACTTCAAGTATTTGTATATATGCATTGCACTGCACAATCGTAGGTTTTAAGAAAAACCTATAAATTAAGCTTATTGTCATCATAATCATTGTTTAAAAACATTTACTCGCTAGCTAGCATCATGCTAGCCAAACGCTAGCCATGAAACTCGTCGGAGTCAGCTAGTAAATACATTTCAACTCTTCAAGGTGAAACGATGAATCGGAAGTTTGGCTCTTATTCACTCTTAGTAACGAGATGTAGTTTACATTACTTCTATGTGTAGCCTCACTACAGCCGAGCTAGCTAACGTTAGCGGCTAACTGCTAACTGGCTGGCATGACATAGCAGTTGTATTGAGATTGAATGACTGCTTTAGTTTACATTTGCGTCGTTCTAAACCCACATTTATCAAATGACAAGGTCACGTGACACATTATAAAGCACCGTTAAGTCGCACTAGCCGCCATATAACGAAACCCTAGAGTTTGTACAGGAAATATAATGATAAATGAAATATTGTTTGCCATACCGGGTTCTTCTCTACAGTCACTACGTCCTCCATGTTGGATCAGTCTGGTCTGGCGACGTCACCGTGACGCGCCACAGTGTGCATGGGTAATGTAGTTCAATTAATTTCAACAGAGCTTTATCCTCGTTGAATATAAACATATGTACATAACCAAAAGTAGTTCTCACTGGACGCTGGACTCCTAGTAGGGCTGCTATATTGTGTAATGCGGCAGATTTCTGCACTAGGTCTACATGTTGTCCTCTTGGTAAAGTTGGAAACCCCACTTGTTTCCTTGGAGATACAGTAGCAGCAGGGTCCGGTTGCCATAACAACCACTTGTCCCAGCCTCCGCCCCCCTCTCCATCACCGCTCGCCCCCCCCCCCCCCCCGACGGGCGGCACGTGTCGACCTGTTGCGTGCCATTATTATTCGTACTGGTTTTAAATGGGACCTGGTGGTCGCCTCGCTCTTCGTCTCTGTCGTCACCCAGCAGCTGTCCCAGGGTGGCTGGGAGGGGGGAGACCAGCCGGGGGGTGGGGGAGACCAGTCGGGGGGTGGGGGAGACCAGTCGGCCCAGGAGACCGCAAAGGAAGAGACAGGTAAGAGACAGACTGCTTCTGATTCGTTTTACATGATGTTTAGTATGAAATATACACTAATATACGTATATACGTATTGATTGTTCAAACGTGGGCCTATTTTACCAACTGCTATGAGATCACGACTCAAACATTGACGATTCATTGTCGATAAACGCACGTCCCTTAACGTAATGAGGTCGACGTGTCCGCCCTACCACCACTATTTTATATTCATTCATCCGTCGTGGCTGATCAAGCTCATAAAGTATTGTCTCTCACTAATACGTTGATTAGTTTGTAATATCTTAACCTGCGGCACAGAGAAGGGAATACCTTCATATTGTCTCAGGTGAGGATGGAGACCTATTTCTTTATAGACAGGCTATATATTAATATACAGATGGTGGTTCAGACAGAGCGGACCCCCTCACTAGCTCCCACCGCCTCCTAATGTATCCTGTGGTGCTGTCTAGCTCAACAGGTAGAGCATGGCATTAACATTGCCAGGGTTAAAGGTTCGATTCCCACTGGGAGGGACCACCGATGCTAAAAATGTATGCACTCATGGTATTGTAAGATGCTTTGGATAAAAGTGTCCACCAAATATGTATGTCTCCAGGAAGGTTGTGTCGTTACTCCTCTGATCTACTCCTCTCAACCGCCCTGCTCCTCTAAAGTATAAATAGTTCAACAAAGGGTTGAAACTCGAAGCCTCAACAATTCAGCCCTAAGGAACCTGATACACACACGCACGGACACACACTCACACTTGAGACTATAGGCAACAGTGTGTCTTAATGTGTTTGTTCCAGAATGTGTGTGGGGCTCCTGCTCCCAGTCCTCCTCCTGATGCAAGGTGAGAGTCAGTGGGCGTGGCCTGTTGCTGTGATGATGGGAGGCATGACCCTCGACCCCTCCCTGGTGGTGTTTTTGGACAGCTGTGTGTGTGTGTGTGTGTGTGTGTATACAATGTGACAGCTCCTGTCCTCTTTTGACCCTCTCCCTCCCTACCCCTCCCCTCCTTCCACAACAACCCCAAAACTACCGCTTTTAATTGAAAAAAAGGGATTTTGGCTGTATTCACTGGCTAACCCCTACCTGCTCCTTAATTACCTGTCTCTGTATTCACTGTCTAACCCCTACCTGCTCCTTAATGACCTGTCTCTGTATTCACTGTCTAACCCCTACCTGCTCCTTAATGACCTGTCTCTGTATTCACTGTCTAACCCCTACCTGCTCCTTAATGACCTGTCTCTGTATTCACTGTCTAACCCCTACCTGCTCCTTAATGAGCTGTCTCTGTATTCACTGTCTAACCCCTACCTGCTCCTTAATGACCTGTCTCTGTATTCACTGTCTAACCCCTACCTGCTCCTTAATGACCTGTCTCTGTATTCACTGTCTAACCCCTACCTGCTCCTTAATGACCTGTCTCTGTATTCACTGTCTAACCCCTACCTGCTCCTTAATGACCTGTCTCTGTATTCACTGTCTAACCCCTACCTGCTCCTTAATGACCTCTCTCTGTATTCTGTTAAAGGCATACTATGCAGTTTTCCGGTTTTGTCAAACAGCGACCCCTACAGTCGCTGCGGAGTACTTGTATTTAACGTTAACTGTCGTAAATACCACTCGCCAGAGCCGTCTCTATATACGGCTCTACGTCTCTGCACTCCCGGCCTGAGCCCCTCCCCCCTGTATACCGGTACATGTTCAGTAGGATGGAAGCGTCGGACATCCAACAGGCAAAAGATGTCTACTGACCGGGTAATGTTTCAGGTGAATGCCTGCTAGCATCTTCCACTGAGGCTGCTTCTTATGTCGCTGATGTACGTGACGTCGCGTGACGTCGCGCCGTAAAGCAATTCGTGATTCTCGCGAGACTTGTCGGGGGGCGCCGTCTTCAGACTTGCATTGCTGGTTCTGCCAGCGGCGACCCTCCCCAGCGCTGCTACCGGGATGATTCGCTATACTACGAGTTTGTTTACCATCGAAATGACTTTGAAGCTGTTATATTAAGGTACAAAAGTTGCATAGTGTGCCTTTAAAGTGACCGCTATTAAAAATCTAATGTTTCCTTAAGCTGTAAACTTGACGATCTCTCTTCTTTTCTATACAGCTCATCAGCCTCACACTTCTTTCCTCCCTTCCCTACTTATCCCCCCCCCCACTCTTTCTATCTGTGTGTGCCGCATCTTCCTCACCACCTAGAGGTGAATTCTGAAAAAAATGACTTCCTGTTCTTCCCCCCTCCCTCCCCCGTTTCCTCTCCCTTATTGCACAACTCAAAAACAAATGCATCCCAGAGGTCAAAGTTGAAAGTAGAACAAGATGATTGGTTGAGGTCGATGCTGAGGCAGAGCTGCAGGTTTGTTCAGTCGGCCGATGATGATGATGATGATGATGATGATGATGATGATGATGATGATGATGTCATATACGTATATGTTTCTATATATGAAGGACCCACCGCCAGAAAGTATTTATTTCCATTCAGTTTGAAGAACCAAACATCTTCTGGCAGGACAAGTGGAATAAGAACAAATTAATGATTAAATTAAAAAAAACAATGTGATTAGCAACAAGCACCTGGCAAGGCGGTTCTGGTTCTGATGTTCTCCTCCCTGCGCCAGGACAGGGGTCCTGGGGGACATGCGTGGAGGTGGACTCGGACACCGAGGCGGTGGCCAATCAGGGCTTCAAGCTGGGCTGCATCTCCTGCAAGATGAGGGAAGAGATCCCGGCCACCGCCTCTGTTAAGTGGTTCTTCAAGGCCCGCCACGAGAACAACTTCACCCAGGTACACACCTCACCTTCACCCAGGTACACACCTCACCTTCACCCACACCTTCACCCAGGTACACACCTCACCTTCACCCACACCTTCACCCAGGTACACACCTCACCTTCACCCAGGTACACACCTCACCTTCACCCAGGTACACACCTCACCTTCACCCAGGTACACACCTCACCTTCACCCAGGTACACACCTCACCTTCACCCAGGTACACACCTCACCTTCACCCAGGTACACACCTCACCTTCACCCAGGTACACACCTCACCTTCACCCAGGTACACACCTCACCTTCACCCAGGTACACACCTCACCTTCACCCAGGTACACACCTCACCTTCACCCAGGTACACACCTCACCGTCACCCAGGTACACACCTCACCTTCACCCAGGTACACACCTCACCTTCACCCAGGTACACACCTCACCTTCACCCAGGTACACACCTGACTTGTTAGCCCCCAGATATACACCTCACCCGTTAGCACCAAGGTACACACCTCAACTTCACCCGGGTACACTATCTACATGTTCCCATATATATAGTACAAAAAAAAGAGAAACTTTTTAAAAACCTTTTTTTGTACTCCACATAGATCATAAATCCTTGAATATAAAAACGACTCATTTAAATCGGTTGAGAAATGTAAACGTTACAGTGCTTTTCATCCTTAAAAACCGCGGCTCCCCTGTTTACTTGTATTTGTTTACATTCTTTGCCTACATTGATGTACGATCCAAAGGGTCAACGCGGTGTCTATGTATACATGTCCAGGGTGGGTAGGTAGGTCGCGCCTACTAAAAGCCTCTTGTCACGATGGTCAGATCTACAGCTACAAGGACAAGATGGGGGATGTGGTGGACGAGCGTTTCTACGATCGCTTGGAGTGGAACGGCAGCAAGAGAACCGGCGACCTGCAGGACGGCTCCGTCTACATCCTCAACGTGACCTACAACGACACGGGGACCTACAGCTGCGTCTTCAACCGCACACTCACCTTCCCCAAACGCGCCACCCACACCCACGCCCACGCCAACAAAACCTTCAGCATCATTGTAGTACCCAAACGTAAGAGCTCACATCCTGTTTCCACGGTAACAAACCACTTCCAAATGATACACCTTAGGGCGGGTGCTTTCTGCTAGTGCTCCAAGCTCGAGTGATCGAGCTTGGAGCACTAGGAAAAACGATTTTTGGAATCCAGCCCAGGCCTCCTCAGTACATAGAAGAAACAATTCAAAATAAGAGCAGTTATAATGTGTATTAGAAGATGGATTCCACAGTAAAGGGCCCGGTTGTCATGGCGTTGATGTCCCCAGATAGAATAAGATCTCTATCTGACTCGCTCTCTCCGTCACCCCCATCCCCAGTGAATAGGGCCATGGCCTCCATCCTATCAGAGGTGATGATGTACGTCTCCATCATCAGCCTCCAGCTGTGGCTCCTGGTGGAGATGATCTACTGCTACAGGAAGATCTCCTCTGATGAGGAGGCGCAGAGGGATAGCCACATGATGTCAGTACACACACACACCTCCTCTCATCTCTTCTGATTTCATTTGTTTTAATGTGCCTCACCTTTTTTTCCTCTTTTTGTCTTTCCTCTCTATGGTCTATCTCTCTCAGGGCTGAGTATTTCAATGCTTATCTCAATAAAGAGCACTCTGAAGGAGTTCAGGTGGCCGAATAGTTATGGTAGTTCTCTCTCTCTCTGGTAAATTAATTGTATTGAATGCGTAAAATATTAAATATTTTGTATATACATATACACACATTTAAATAGATACATGTATTATTAATTCAAATACATAGATATATAGATATCAGATATATATACACAGAGGATTGTATATAAGCCTAATTATGTAATTATGCAAAGATAATCTTAATTGTAACACAATTGAATTGTGGGAATATTGCTCAGTCAACCAATGTCTTGATTGGCGTATATATCCTGTCTGAATGTATACATTACATAATAATACAGATATATTTACTACCGTTTGTTTTGTTTTTTGTTTTTATCACAAAACGTTTAAATGTGACAAATTAAGGGCTGAGATTACACTGCCATGGGCAAACATACAAACTATATGAACCCTAAATGTTCCCCAGCTAATAAAAAAAGTTTTTCGCTGCGTTCTGATTCATCTGATGACTGACATGGTCACATGTGGTTTCATTGCATGATAACTGATAGTTTAATTGTATAAAAACAATCCTTTAAAGTATTATGTCCAACTCCCCCTCTTCATATATACACATCTCATGTTACTTTTCCCATCAGGTGTATGGAAATGTTTGACACTATAAGACAAAGATTATTTTATTAGAAAGCCATGTCTGATGTATTTATTGTCGTGTTTTGTAGTTTGGTCATGTGTTGTTGTAATAGGTTGTCACAGTTTATCACAAGGTGTGAGATGTATGAAGGAAAGATCCAGCCATTGGTATAGAGCACCAGGTGGTACGGTCCACTAGATGGTACAGTCCACCAGGGGGATGACCGGGGAGTTGACCTATCCCGATTGGAAAGTGTAGAAGCTCTGTACTCTATGAAGGGGTGAGAGTTTTGTTTTCCATGAAGGGATGAGAGCTGTTCTCTATGAAGGGATGAATAGAGCTCTATTCTCTATGAAGGGATGAATAGAGCTCTATTGTCTATAAAAGGATGAGAGCTCTATTGTCTATAAAAGGATGAGAGCTCTATTGTCTATGAAGGGATGAGAGCTATGTTCTATATG